AAGACCTTGATTTGTATGTACCATCTATCTGATTCAGTGTTTCAGTAATACATGAAAATAATTTATTTTGCCCTGGAGCCCTGCCCAGATTAGCAGAGGTTACAAGGCAGATGGATGTTGCTCCATCTTTCAGAGTCACACTTCTGAAAAAACACACAGACCACCATCAGTAATGGAATAGTTTGGGTTTTTTTTTTCATTTCTCTCATGTCAATAACTTAACTGCAGTTATGTATTTTTAGATTTCTAATGGTGAAAGTCTTCACTGGAGAGGAGAAAAAGAAGAAATCTAAAATTTTAATTAGTTTTATAGAAATCAGAAACATCATGTATTGGCTTTAAAAGTATGTGCAATGATCACTCTTTAATGCATTTCAATTTAAAAAAAAATATTCTAATGCATGTTAACCAGTATGTACTTTCTGCATCTTTTAAATTCTTTTAAATGTGTTGCATTGGTAGTGCTAGGTCAAGTAAGGGTACAGCTTTCTATGTCTTTTATACGTGAATACTTGGGGGAGTGTCTTAAAACTAGTTAGAAAAGCATAATAGTTTTTTTTTTCAATTCTAATCCAAATTACATTTTCCCCATTTTTTTTCTACTGATATAGAACTGCTAGGTAAGAACAATCATTTCCATGTTGTTTTCATGCTGTGTTAGAGAAGTGCAACAGAGAAATGTCTGAAAAATATTTTTCAGGCACAATTTCTTGATTTAGTGGCAGATGTGGAAAGATGCACTGTAGTAGTCCATTTCTCAAGTACCCAAAAGACTGGCAATGTAAAATTATAAGAAAATGGTTACTAGAGTGTCACCATTTTCTTTTGCTTGCTACTGTGCTTTAAGGATAGTTTAAAACTAGTACTAAAAGACTTAAATGAAAATTTGCTGAAATGTTGGCATGTAAATTATAAGCTGTTGTCTGAGTGAATCCTATTAAAATGAGCTGACTTTCATCTGGCAAAATGCTGATTAACAAGTGGCTATTTTTATTTGATTCAGTTCTAATTCTGTATTTTACAAATCTGTGGTAGCGTCCAAAAATGATAAGAAAAAGTAATTCTGTACATTTCACACACTTGAATTAAAAAGTCCTATGCTAATAGGGGTGAATAGAGGACAAGTGACAGATAGAAGGATCTTCGTGAGCTTCTGTCTCAACAGCCTTATACTCTTCAAATAAGAAATGTTGGGAGAAAATCTCTGTTCCTCTTTCCTAAGAGGATTGTTGTAACTGAAGCAGGCCACTTGAGGTGCAACTATCTTAAATTCACTAATCCAAGATGACACAATGTTCAATATTTGTGTGTAGTGCTTTAGGGCAGCTTTGGTCACAGTTACCTCATGGGTGACAGACTTAGTGTATTCTTGTGTTATTGCTGACCAAATTGTGGGTTTTAGATTGTTTTGTAACCCTAGCTTCACTTGTGTCAATGTGTGTCTCTCCTTTTCACACTGCTCTCCCCTTCTTTTACTTTGTACAGGTAATGATGAATGAACCTGACTCAGGAAATTCCTTAGTGCTTACTACACACCGGTGTCCGAAGTCCGCACAGCTGAAAAACAAATTGTAGTGGAGAATGTAACATGGGGCAGGAGAGGCAAGACTTCAAAAAAGAATGTTGATTGTATGAAAAAGAGAAAAAACATGCCTTTTAAACTGAGATACCTTTAGAGTTCTCTTGTGTGGATTTGCATATCTCTTTGTGTTCCTTAAATATTAAGTGCCCAAAATTTTAAAAAACCCACACCAACCAAACAACAACAACAAAAAAAATCCACAAAACCCAAAAACCTCAACAAACCAAACCAAAAACCCCCAAACCTGTAAGCTCTCAAATTTCAAAAGAAACAGAGAAAGAAATACCTGTATATATTCTGATACAAAACTGAGACCTATAATTAAAGCAGAACTTCTGCCGTATGAACAGATAGCTGGTATGGTTGAACGGTTGAAAGCATTACTGTGTTGTGGAAGTACTCACATCTAGCTATTCGCTTACATACTTCAAGTAGCTTTTCTTTACACCTACACAAAGAAATTGCTTTGTTTTTATTGACCCTCATGGTTTTTTAATAGTATCTTAATCTAGTGGTCCAGTTCAAGCATGTCACTTTTATTGTATTTTGAAGCTGAAGGCTTCTGTCACATCTGAAATATTTTGATGGTGTTTCTTAATTCGGGAAAACTGGAACATAAGTCATCATTGAAATGTCTCGGGGGGGGGGTTGGAATTGTAAAATCCATTTGGACCTAGAATACTCTATTGAAAATTTTTTCTTATTTTGCTTCTTCTTCCCCTTCCCAAAAATCCCAGTTCTTTACCTCTCTTGAATTTTGTAATCTGGTCAATGATGATGTACTACACTGTTGAACTGAAAAAGGGGAGGGTTTGCAGTTTACCTTTGAAGTTTGAGTGTTCTAGTCATTGCTCCAACAGCCACAGGGGAAAATTAAATATTGCAGCCACAAGTGCTGTGTAATACTTCACATCTTCTGGCTCCTGTATTGTACAGTTTGGTTTCCACCGCCCTACAAGCAAAACCAGGTTTCTTCTGACACACATTTCCTCGTTCCTTGTGTCGAAGCAGTACTATACAGGGCAGACATTAGGGATTCTGTTGTTTCGAGTCATCATCTCTGCATTTTTACTGGTTTATCCATTACAGTAAGTCTCTTGTTATGAATTTGATGAACTGTCAAACTTCCAAGTGCCCTGTTGAAGAAAAATAGGTTTGGTTTCTTTTTTTTTCAGCTACAACCAGTCTCAATCTAAAACTGTCAAAACTTGCTTTTCCACAAAGTAAAAACCAGTATATTTATATATATATATATTTATTATTTAAACTGTCAGAATATGTACATGTTTTTTGTATAATTGATTTATGGTGTCATTATTAAAATTTTGCCCACTGAAAAGGGTTAAATTTTTTTAGACAGATACCAAACCTATTCTAGTTCAGCAGTATTGTGGGAATCTGCGGTGAGAATAAAATTATTAATAATAAGAATAAAAAATTGCCTTTAATAGATTATTCTTTAATTCCTTTTTTCTTTGATAAACACCTCTAATTCCATCTTGTGAGAAACTATGATCAGTTCTTGGAAATAGTGTTGGTTCTGGGCTATGTTGCTTCTTCTCTCATTCAGTTTCCTTCTTTACTTCCTTTTTCTTAACTTCCCACAGTAAACTTTTTACCAGGTTTCTCATCCATTCCACTTTCCACTGCTGCATAATCTATTCAGAGAGATGGTCCTCATGAGCTGCATCACTCATGACTTTTAGCAAATACACCCTAAAGACTCTATTAAATAATGATTCTGAATTATTTTCTTTTTTCGGGTTTGATTTTTCAAGTCAGCTTGCACACCTTTGGAGGAAGGGAGGACTCAAAACCTTTAGATTTAAGATAATATAGAATAAGTGCATGGAAACAACAAAATACACAACTGGTATATTCTGTCCTCTATGATTTTGAATCCCCTTAAGGTGGTAGTCTTACTGAAGTTAAGGATTGGGCCATGTTCCCTTCTTTTAAATTGAAATCGTATCATTATTGACGGTCTTCCTTTCTTATGCAGTGTACTGGCTTGCTTCTGGTGATAAACATGGCATAATCTGCAGACTGAAAGATTTACAAACAGAGCTTTTTACCAATTAATAATTTGAAAAATACATGTAGATTGTGGACAGCTTTTTAAGAATAATCTTCAAACCTGCCACTCAAGATTGAATATCCTTGAAATCCCTCAAAAGCTAACTTAAAACTGACACAGTAAATAAGTTTGTCTGCAAAAGAAATACTTTCATCTGAAATGTTAAATCCATATTTAATATTCTATAATGACATCAGGGACAGTGTGGCTGCAAGATAATTAATTGGTCTGTGTGCAATTTATTGAAAAGTTAAGCATTTGGCTTCTGTGCATATGACATTCACCTTGAAGAATTTTCTGTTGTAGTTCTAGTTGAAATATGGAATGGTATTTTTCATACAAAACTTATTCTGTGAACTATATAACACTGATGTCTCTGTCTTCAGACTTACTTCTTGACCCTTGAAGCCAACTCTTAAGTTCAGTTGAGGAAAGTTTTAAAAAAACCAAAACAAACAAGCAAAAAACCATCAGCAGAAAGGAGTAAGACCCCCAGCAATGAGCTGTTTGAGCTGAACAGGTACAGACAGTACTCAACCGGGAGCACCGATGCCTAAAACCTTCTTTGAAGAACAGAGCTTAAAGAGGCTTTTGTTCTTCAATTTGCTGAACTCTGATGAGCGCACATTTGAAGTTACTACTAGAAGAAACTTCAGAAAAATGCGTTATCTGGTTGGGCAATGTGAACCAAAGCAGAGCACAGGTTTTTCTGTGATCTGGTAAGTGAATGGCTTATTTAAATCAAGTTCCAGTCTACCACATTCCTAACAACGCTCTTCGTGCTCTTGAGAAATCTGCATTATTTATTAGTAATTCCTACTTCAGCTTTTACTGCTTCTCTGTCTCTCTTGCTCTCATGTGAGCATAAATGCTGTGTGCTTACTCAAACACTCATTGTTCTAAAGCTTCAAAACTTTTCCCGAATTCGTAGGAAGGCAGGGCTGCGGGCGTTGCTGCGGCCCTTCAGCCGCCAGGTGGCGGCGGGCGCGGCCCCAGGGCCCCGCGCCGCGGGAAAGGTGCGGCCGCCTGGGGCGGGGACCTGCGGGGGGAACACGGCGAGGCTGAGCCGGGACAGGAATTCGCAATTTATTTATTTCCTTGTACAAGGGCATTTTCTGAAAATACCCATAGATGCAATTCTTTTTCTGTTTGCAAATCTTTGCATTCTTTTTCCCTGAGTATATATATATATATATATATATCCTGAGTTGGAAGGGACCTACAAAGATCATAGAGCCCAACAATCACGCCATGTACCTGAGAGCATTGTCCAAACACTCCTTGAACTCTGGTCGCTCTGTAACCACTTCCCTGGGGAGCCTGCTCAGTGCCCAACCACCCTCTGGGGGAAGAACCTTTTTCTAATGCCTGACCTAAACCTCTCTGACACAACTTCAGGCCTGAAGAGATCAGTGCCTGCCTCTCCTCTTCCTATCACGAGGAAGTTGTAAGTGCAGTGAGATCTCGCCCCAGTCTCCTTTTCTCCAGGCTGAGCAGAGCAAGTGACCTCAGCTGCTCCTCATATGACTTGCCTTCACAGTCCTTCACCATCTTTGTAGCCTTGCTTTGGATGCTCTCTTATAGCTTTATGGCAGGGTATGTCAGGTTTCCCCAAATGACTAAATGCAAATTTAAATAAAATATCACACTTTTAGCACATTTGAAATGTATATTTGGGCTTGGTATAATCTTCCCCTTTGCCAGAGGCTGGGGTAGAAACATGCCCCTGACTAAATTACTGATTTGACTTCTGTTTCCACTAAAAGCACCACATCAAAGCTCAAATAAGGCTACACTCTACATAATTTTATTAGCTGTGATAAACCAAAGACAAATACAGAAATTTAACTTTTCAATCCTTTTAAATGTTTTTCTTTTCAAATAATTGTGTGCTTTCTCAAGTCTTATTTTACCATTTGTTCATTCATGAACCATGTAGACTCAAATTTAGCGTGAAATAGAAATCAATGGTTACCATTCCTAAAACATTTTCTGCCATTTTTGTCATAGCAGTTTAAATGGAGCAATTTGTATAGTTTAAGTAGTAGTTTTAAAACCCATAAAGAGCTTCCTGTAAATTAAATTTGTGTGTTAATGCAATTTGCACTTCAAATGCATTTCTAAATTGATATGTTTTCCAGCTGAGCTGATGAGTTCATCAGTTCAAATTGTAGCACTTAGAATGGTTGGCTTGTGCAAGAGTCTTAAAAACACTTCTTCATCAACTAAAGCCTTAGTTGACCTGCTTCCACAAAGATATATTAATTTGCAGTTACTTATGAGACATGTAAATACATATATGTGTGTATGTACATATATGTGTGTGTACATATATATATGAGTTCAGCTGCTGCTCCTAAATTGCTTGCTTTGAGCATCTCTGATGTGCTGCACTCTTCCAGATTTTATTTCCAAGACATTTTTAAACCGAGATGGGATTTAGCCAATTCCATTCACTCTCTTTTTAACAATACAGTTTAGAGAATTCACAGAGCCAAAGACTTGGAGAGTTTCTTCACAGCTGCACAACACAAGCCAAAGTCATGGGCAGGTTGCAGAGTGGGAATACTCCAGCAATTGCTTAGTTTCAGGATGGCTGTGACAGTTCTTTCCCAAGTCACCCTGAGGTTGACTGTATCAAGTTTGAGGCTGGGACGTTGCGTGATCCACTTCTTCTTGGCTGATGGATGTTCCTTTAGGGACTGAAGTCAGCCAGGAAAAAATACAGTTCAGATTTAAATAGGACTGTGGCTTGAGCTGATGCAGACATGCTCTGAGGAGAAGAGAACCAGTTGGGTCTTTGACATTCCCTAACTTTTGCTGTATCCTGCACACAGTCCTGACAGTAATGTCTCCCCTAGGGGAAGGGATGAAGTATGCATTTTGGCTGTGTCCTTGATATAGAATAAAACTTCCTTAAATTCAAATTGTAGGCTAAAAGACTGTGGTTCTATCTCTCTTGAAAAATTTTAAATCCCAAGCAATACTACAGGAATGCCATACTTTCCTCCTATTTGCTTCCCCATCAGCAGTCAAATGTTCTTATTGTTGTTTGATTTTTTGCTGCTACAACTATTCCAAATGCTATCAGAGAAGTTTTGCAAAACTAAGGTATGTAGCCTTTTTCTGAAGGGATTGATTTGATGTGGATAGACAAAGGACAGAAAGCCTGAGGTGTATGAGCCACAACTCTGTCTGTTGTGGAGCTCTACTGACTTGAGTCCTGCTTAAAACTGCTTTTTATAAATTGCTGTAGCTGTTATATTTCCTCTAAATTCTGTTTCTTCCTTTGTATGGAAGTGTTAAGAAAAGACTGGACATTCAGTTACTGCCATGGCCTAGCTGACATGGTGATATTCAGTCAAAGGTTGTGGTCGATGATCTCAAGAAGTCTTTTCCAACCTCATTTATTCTGGGAATCTGTAACAATTCTTGATAATGATGTCTGAAAGATAGAAATAAAATGCAGTAATCTGCCATAATTATAGCACATTGAATTGATCCTTTCCCACTGACATTAATTTTGATAACTTACATAGCCATTTGGAGTATTTTAATTTCTCTTTAAACATTGTAAGAGAAACCCAAAATATGAAGTCCATGACAGTTGAGCTTCTCAAAAGAGTATATTTGGACATAACATTGGACATACTTTTATGTCTTTTAATTATTAGAAATATGAGTTTTGGGTTTTTTTTTATACTCAGTAGTTTAAAGTCTTATTTAGTAGACCTGTACTTACTGTTACATATATGAGAATTATTTCAATGGCACTAAAATATCCCTGATGTGATCTTTAGCTTAGTAATATAGCACTTTTTTTCCACCTGTGGAAAAGCCTGATTGCAGTAACCTCTGTATCCAGTTCCGCTGTGGCCTTTAGTACATTAGTTAATGATCACAGTGCCCTGAGTAACTTAAATCACTGTATTCACTTAATACTGCTTTGTCACCTTTCCTCAGACAACCACTATTGCTTTCTCTACATTGGCCAATCCTCTTTGTCCAGAAACCTCAACAAACTCTGACTCCAGAGACCATGTGGTCCCACCCATTGCCAGGTGGGAAAGGAAGCCCAGTTCAGTCCTGGCCCACAACCTTTGTTAACAAAGTGATACTGTAGTAACTATTTTGCTCAAATCCATAATGGACAGACTTTCCACCACAACCCCCAGTATCTCGCTGTACATAACAATAGTGGAGCATGGACAAGCACTGTTAAAAGGCCTCCTTCCTCCCAGTAAAATTAAAGAAAGCTTGAGTCAGATCCCATTGTGATTTGTTAAGCTTCTCCTGTTCACCACAGTCTGTTCTTTCCCTCTGCTGATGATTATCAGGACCAGCAGAAGGAAACGTTCGCCCACCCTCATACTCGGGCACGAAGCAGAGCGTCATTGATCAAAGTGCTGAGAAGATGGGTGTGAGCCAAGGCACCAGACTCTGAGCTGCAGTTGGTGAGGATATGAACACATCTTCCATTCTGCTTATTCTGCCACAGTGAACACAATCTCCATCAGAAGGATGGGATATAACAGATGGAGCTATAACTTAAACCACTTTGTAACAGTTCCTAAAGCTCATCTGTCAAGGATGGTGCCAGACTGCTTGTGCAGTGTTAGTAAGAGAAATTTATGTATGAACATACAATGTGAAATAGGCCTGCTGAGGAGCAAAAGCTGTGTAGCCTATAGTGTTTATCTTGCATTAATCAAGTTGTAATGTATTTACTTAGCACTATTTTTGTTTTCACTTGCTGGCAAAATTCCCACAGATATTTTATTCTACCTTACAGCAGTTAAAAAGGTGAGAAATATATAACTGAAATAATTCACTAATTGTGTAATTTCCTGGCTTATCACACAATAAACCGTGGGGGCTTGTTAGAGGATCACATTAATCCAAAGCATGACACAGGTCAGATCACTTCCTACAGTCACTAGCTTTAACAAAGCTATCTATGACATTTCAACTCAGGTATTTTCAGCTGAAATTCAGAAGACTGGCAAGCCTGTATTCTGTAATTCTGTCTTAGTGGTATCTGAGGAATATGCAGCTCACAACTATGCTGATGGTCATGGAAATTGCAGGTACCTCATTTCTGGAAATCTTGATGCTTTTGCAGCTTTAAGGAACTGTATTTTCTTGCCATAGGATAACAGAGAGGTCAGAAGGCTTTGTGCTCATTGGCCAGAAGACTGTGTAGAATAATAGAATGAACTGGGGAAAAAATGCTCTGAAAGCATCTGGGAGTTCTTGTGCATACTAGACAATATATTCTATACTAATTTTCTGTGGCTAAGTTTACTGTTACTGTGGCCTAGAAGTAGCCAAATAAAACAGCAGGGAGGCCTTTTCTATGTTTCTTCCCTCCATTTCTCACTAACATTTTTACATTTGCTCATTCCCTCTTCCAATGGAAGCAGGGGGGAAAGTGCCGAGTACAGCACTAACGGCATGAAGAAAAATACTGAAGGAAGCAGCATGGAGGCCATGGTTTCAACCACTCTCCCTCCTTTGCCCAGGAGAATTTCAGTGACCTCTTGACACCTCCCAGGGGAAACTTTAAGTTGACAAGGGTATTTGCCAAGTAAATACAAAAAATGGCATTAAAATAGTATTGTTTCTGACTTAATCCTCCTAAAGTCAATGCAAGTGAGTTAAGGTTCCCAGAGCAGCTATAACGCATTAACCTCAATCTTGATGGCTGGGTATGTGAATGTGTATCAGGACTGATTAAAAAACACTTCCAGGCACTCACTAATAGTCACTGGGGAAACTGAAAAATGCCAAAAATTAAGTTACAACTTATTTCTGGATTGTGCTGGTATATTGGTTAAAACTAATACATTTCATGTTATGCAACACTGTCTAGAGTCAAAACATTAATTTGTCCTATCAAAACAAAGGGGAAGGCATTTCATGTTCATTATAAGTTGTTTGGTTATTCTGCCATGTTTTTGCTAGTGTAAGCTACTCAAGAATGATTGTTGTGATTCTTGGAAAATATTCTGGTTTTATTATAAGCCAGTTGCCAATTTTTCCTCTGAAATCTGAAATAGAGAGATATGAGAGTATGTTATACCTCAGATGTCTCCATACCATACTCCCCCACACCCAGAGAATACATTTGCTGCCCAGTAACACTTGCTGGTCATTATTAACTCTGATCCTGCTTTTTAATAGTAGGATAATAGTGGGATTAATTCTACTCCAGAAGACAGGTTGCTAAACTGGAGATCTGTAGTTTAGTACTTGGAATTGTTCCTTTGCTTCCTCCCCAGCATATTATTTAATTTAACCTGTAGAGATAAATGCATCTGTGCCAGTCTTTGTTTCGTTTGCCTTACCTTCTCTTATCTTTCCAGTCGTTTTTGCCACAAGTTGCCAAGTCTTCCATGTATGAGGTAACTGCCTTCATGTTCTCCATGCCTGTCATATAGAAGAGGATCAGCACAATAAATCCCATAAATAAGAACGCTTCCAGAAGACAATACCAGAAAAAATGCTCACCAATATGAAGTAGTATGCAGGAAAAGACCTAGTACATGCCATTTGCTGACAGGTCTTTAGAGCACAGCTGCTTTAGCTATATGTAAGGACTATGGCGTGGATTAAAAATACATTGTTTTTTTAGCACAGGTGTGACCTTAGAGAAGAATTGTGGTAGGACTGCATTAGCAGTTTGCAGGTTTTTGGCACACTTACCCATTGTCAGTGCCCCAGTCCATCTACACACAGAGTTGCTGTTTGCATTTTCTGGGACACGTGGGAAAACATTACTTGAAAATGAGTTTGACTGTAGCTCATATAAAGTGTCTTTTTAAGATGTATTTAAAGGCTGATTCTTAGCTGGGGGATGGAATCCAGCTGCCTGTTTTCTTTGGCCTCAAGAGCCAGTTTCAAGTGATTTACATTTTCAAAGCTGACTTCACAATGAAAGAGCTTGAGGCTTGGTTTTGAGGCATGACATGGTTTTTTTGGGATTGGGGTTTCTTTTGGTGGTGGGGGCATGCTAGTGAGTAAATATTTTACAGCCCACATTCCTAGTTCTACAAAATCAGTGACTTGAGGCTCTGGGACAATATAAGTAAGCACAAAGGCTGGAATTTATTGCAAGTAATGATCTATGAGATAAGATTTTTCAGCTAAGCCAGTGCAGAGTTCTCTTGCCAGATGTGTGGGAGTGAAAGTGACACAAATCTTAAAAAAAAAAAAAAGATAAATCTTTGGCAATCCCAGAGTGATTATATAGCCTTGTAGTGCTAGCAGCCTCAGAGAATTCATTTTGTGTCTCAATGTCCTTATTGACTTAGAATCCAAGTCTCAAGCTGTATGAAAGGAATCCAAAGTAGTGCCATGAATACTCCATAAATTTATCTCACTTCCTTAATCTTATTTTGAACAAAGATAGTTTTGGGGTCCTTTTTCCTACATTTCTCTGTTTATAGAGAACTGTGGTAGCAGAATTACAGTGATTCTGTGAAAAAATCACTAGGGACCTTGTCCCGTTATTCCCTTACTTTCATCCCAATGTAATTAAAAACTTTCCTTCATAGTCAAGCCACGTCATAAATCCTTGGGTTTTGCTTCCTAGATATCACGGACAAAGGCATGGTACATGGCTGGTACACTGATCACATCCAAATCTCTGCCGACACCCTTTCACAAGTGTACCAGGAAATGCAGAGAACCAAAGTTGTAAAGGAGCTTCTGTACCATTCAGACAACCAAGAGGCCTAATTTGTGCTAATGGGCCGCAACTTTCCTTGGAGCTGAGGGTACATTTCAAAAAGGGATACTAAAGTCAAAGAAAATGCTTTCCCTTGGTGTAAGGATACTGCTTTGACTAGTTTGGAATTAAAATGGTAGTGCACTTTAAATGCTGTAACACATTTAATTTTTTATATCCTAGTACACAAACTCTTACACAACCTATCTCATTGCTTATGTATGACACCACAGCAGAACTATTCAAGTGTGGCAGAGATGTTTGAAAAGTAAACATGCTGATAATCCTACTTGCCTGTCACATAGCTCTGCCCAGCAGGCACTTTTAGTAAGAAAATGCTATTTTAGGGAAATAAATCTCTCTGAAAAAAAAATCTAGCTGTGCATGCTTTTAAGAACTAACATGACAACTTCTTTTTTCTTCTTTTTTTTTTTGCAAACTATCAAACTGACTGTTGCAGCACTTCAAATTCTAAAATAACTTAGTTTAGAATTTAATCTTCTTGTAGATTTTGCTGTAAAGACACATGAATTTAATGAAATTCATGAATCCATGAATCATGAATCCATGTGACATGGAAAGATGTCACATATTTATCCTGGAGCATCTTACCAGTCCCTGCTCCTAAGTCTGAGAGTGAAACAGCTACAGACTCTTCTGGGACAAAATCCAAACCAACTCTCTCTACAGAAGAGATTCAGGTGAAGGGATTATGGTACTTTTCAACAGATTGCCTGATTTGGACAGTAGGAGGAACTGCAGGACTCATCATAAAACAACAGGAACCACACTACAGATACATTATTGCTACACATTTGTCACACTTTAGCTTTCATGACCACAAAAGCATAAATGGTTTTAAAGAGTTACACTTCTGTAAATGCACTTCCAATAACTTCTCTTGGAATAAGACACTTTGGATAAGGTGTTTGTTAAGACCTGCAGAAAGTTCTGAATTTTCATTGTGTTGTCATACAGTTGCCCAAAGGAGAAATAAAATCCTCTACATCACCTTGCTGTAGAGCCTATACTCTGAGTGGACATGAAAATTTTTCATCTAGAAAGACTGAAAAGAATGCTTAATATGCTCTAAGGATTTATTTGGTGTGAAAGTGTGAATAGATCTGAGGTGACACCCTATTACTGATTGGAGGACCCCAAGGCTTCGGCCATGGAAGATGTTTGCCCTTGGAGGGTTAATTTGACTGAAGGACCCCTCTTGATAAAATAGCAGTATTGTGAATTCTTCCCTGTACATCAAACTCACTGACTAGCTTTGTCTTCTCACAGGATTTTAGAGAGTGAAGCTGTATTTTGTTTCTAGAAATACAAAGTATAACAAAAGGCAGAATTTAGGAATTGTAGGCCTGACATGATAGATCATCTCCTAAAACCCACAACCTCCTTTCCTCTCCACAGCCCACATGCAAAAGTGCTGCTGACTCTCCACAGCAATTCTTTCTCCTATCTAAAATTGCAAATTTCTAAAAATTTTTTTAAATTGGTTTTTTTTTGGTCAAAAAATGTATGTGCCAAGTATCCAGTCTCCAGACATTCAGTTTCTTTCAGACATTTTGGTAATTAGGTGTGGTAATGAAGACTAAGTAAACTTTGATGAATGTTGAATATCCTCCACGATATTTTTGCTTATTTAAAAAGAAGAATTGTTTGGGTGCTGCAACTCATCTCATCTGTGGGTTTGAACACATTTGGGTGTCCAAAGCTCAAAACACTTGTCACAGTGTTTCTCAAAGATAAAACTGGACTTTAGTCATTCCAGCTCACTATCACTGGAAGTGGTTTATTACAGTTCTGCCTGATCTCAGTCTAGAGTCAGTAACATGATAGTTTTAATTCAATATTTATATGTTTAGTGGTTTATTGTTCATATGAAAGAGCTTTACCCTGTGACTGGAATGCAGCCCTTGCAAGTGGGGAAAATACTAATAGCTTTTTAATAGCTTACAATTTGCTAACAATATAGCAAACTATTAAAACAGCATGTAAGCATTCCAAAATGTCTAGGGCAGTCAATAATTCTAACACTACATTCTGAATCACTTACAAATCTTTGGGAGACCAGACCTTAATGGGGCTGGGAGATACCAAGAGCACAACAACACATAAGCTGGTATGCTCTGTCCCCACCAGAATCTCCCTTGTGGAGAGAACACTAATTCTAGAGGGACAAAGAAGTATTAGGACCAATTCTACAGCCTCACAGATTAGGTCTGCAGCTTATCAGCTGTATGGTAAGAAGGAAAAAGATATTCTGATTTTGGAATAAACTTATTTAAGAATGGATTCTAACATTTCTGCTCCTCTTCTAAAATCTTCACAGTTGTACCATCTGGCTTGATTTCTACAAACATGCATTCTCCTTTGTTTTTCTTTTAACCTTATTTGTAGTAAGGGCAAATTCAAGCTTACTGGTTAATGAGATGCAGGCACAATGTTCCCATCAGCATAATGAACATTTAAATCAAGTCCTTGACCAACTACATAACCCAGCACCTTATTGCATTTCTATAAGGTACAGCACTGAATGATGCAGCTAGGTTATGGGATCATTAAGTGCCTATAAACCCAGCATTTTCCTGTGACTAACCTGGTGGGAATGTCTTGTAACAAAAAGCTCACCCAAATACTGAGTAGTTGTAACATGTTTTTTCTTTAATGCCACAGACACTTTTTGTATTGCACATTTCCTCCATGTGACTCAAATTAAGTTATTGCAATAGCAGCAATATGTACAAAGTTACAATCCCAGGTTCACCTTATCAGGGAGAACTGGCACTTACAACACGAATACGCAAGCGATACTGTACTCAAGAAAGCTGGATGCCTAGAACACAGCATAAAAATGTGCTGTTGGTACATTTGGGCTTCTAGTTTCACAACTCATTTCTCCAAACTCCTCACAAATACCAGAACAGCAGAGATTCTTCTGGCAGGATGCAAAAGCCTTGAAGTACATTTGTCATTGATGTAGTTAAAACTAGCTCACAACCCAGAAAATGTATTAAGGATAGCACAAAACTCAGTTTGCCAGCAAACCAACTGGATCAGTATCAACCATGCTGAGGTCCTTGCTGCTGGAATTATTGCTGACAGTAACTGAGCTAGATAATTTAAAGCTGGTACTAATTGAAAGAAAAAAAGAAAAAAAAACACAAAAAAAACAAGACAGCGAAACAAAACCAAACTGCTATCCCCCTTACCTTCCTGAAAAACATGAAAACAAAACCACAAAAAAAAAAAAAAAATCTTTAATGAAAAAGAAGTTAAGCCATTGAAGAACATCTTGGCCATGGCCCCTTACCTTCCTGAAAAACATGAAAACAAAACCACAAAAAAAAAAATAATCTTTAATGAAAAAGAAATTAAGCCATTGAAGAACATCTTGGCCATGAGCCATCCTTCATGATATGCTGTGCTTGCCAATGTAAAGCCAGCAACATCAGTGTAGCCATCAGCAGTAAACTTTCACGACAGGGATGTCAGTGGGAATTTTGCATGGCCTTTGAAAGGGGATTGCCACCATATCTCCAGGGGGCGTTTTACAAGATTAACCTTTTTGGTCTGTGCTTGAGATCTATACTGAATGGGAAAGACAGGCTAATGTGGACATTACAAATGAAAAAAAATGATCCTTTCTGACTAAACTAACAAAAAAAAAGCTCTAAAAATATTTTGTTACAAAAATGTAGCTCAAAACAAAAAGATGCTTATGAACCTACAAATAAAATTAATTCAGACTATGACTGCCACAAGACACTATTGTGTTTTCTTTCTGATAGGGCATAACACATCTTGTTCCATTAAGTCTTATTATGTTTGAGCCTTTTGCAGTTATCTGAAGACTTTCAGGATGGAATTCAAAAATAAATTAATTATAGCTTCTTATGTTTATTCTTGCAGGCCTGCATTTCTCTACATGGCACTCAGTTTTGTTTTATTACTCTAAATATATATAGTGCTAACATGACTTTTTCAGGCACGTGGATTATCCCTGCTGTCAAGGGTAACAATCTTCAGGGATATTTGTAGGATTTGAAAGAAGACTGGAGCTGGTGTTGTTCTGTAGTGTGTTAGTGTATTTAGGGCAAAATGTAAGTTACCAAATGTCTTTATGTTGAAGATTTGCATGTTGAAAAATGTGCAATTCTGAAATAACCCATACTACTTATCCATTAAATTTCCTAAGAAACTAGATACAGGTGAGTACAGAGTGCATCTCCTAGCCCCTCTTCCCAAAATTCATTGCAAAATGTGATAGAATATCTGGAAACATATTATGATTCTAGATGTTTTATAGAAAACAGTGGTCATATAAAAATAATCTAATATTGAATGTCCCTCCTACAGCAAAGGGTGCAGCAGATGTTGCTCTTTCTTCTTGTGAGCTGCCAACTTATCAATTAACCAGTGCTGGTCAAAGCCAGGCACAGTATAGATTTTCCCACATTTTCAAGACAGAGGAAAAACTAAGAGTAGTTGGAAATGTGCCAGAAACAGGAATTATTGCAGTAAGAGTTAGAATAGAATGTATGACTGTTTCAACAGAGTGGGCTGAAGACATGGGGAGAAGCCTTTAGGCTGTTCGGCCTAGAGAGGAAAAAGAAGGTATTGGTGAAAGAGGAGTGCAGAGACCACAGTGGGTTTATTGCACTAAGAATGCAGACACACAAAAAAGGAAAGAAAAAGGTGTTACCAGTTCTTTCTGCTACTGACATTGTCTTTTGCTGTTCTTCCTTTGTCCTTTGCTTCTTCCTTTACTTAACAGCTTCCAGGTAAAGAGAAACAACATACATTGAAGGAAAAAAAAAAGTGTGCCTGAAACCCAGTGACAAAAGTACAATTCATTACACCAAAAATGTGTAAAATACAAATAAATATTAATAGACATTTTAATTGTAGAAATCCAGGTGGCTGAGTATCTGGAGGGCCTCATCTTTCAAATCTGTGTTCTTAAGGGATTTCTGCCCTTTGCATCATGTACTTAGTAAAAGTTGTACAAGGAGCTAATGAACTGTGCATAAGGATGGGATGATTTCAATAGTGAGGCCTCCTCACCTAAAGATATCCAAGGAGTGCAATTCTCTGCTTACAGCTGGCAGCAAGAAAGAATAAATTCTTCAATGTAACAGCAATTCTGTTCCTTTCAGTGCTGGCACCAGAGTATTCCAGCCTCTCTGAGTCAAACACTTCATGCGTAAGAGGGCAGTGGCATACATCTGCACACACCCCCACATTTTTTACATGGATCATAATTGTTTGAAAATTAACTACAGCTACTGCTCAGGAAGTAATATATTTACCTGATACTCTTCAGAGTGTTTACTGCTTTGGTTTGTATTCCACAATGTATTTAGTATTTTACAGACTTTACATAAAACACTGTCAAAGACCAGCCCTGATAAAGGGGTAATCTTTTTATCCTGCTTCCCTGAACTTTCATCTTGCTTCCCTGGTGCACCACTTGTGTTGTAAATTCCTTTACTGTTTTAATAGATATTTTACATTCCTTAGGCAGCAAACTAAGTTTAGACAACAGTAATTGTCTTGCTTACAAAACTATGCTAGAAAGGCTGGCAAATTATTACCATGAGATCTTTTGAAGAAGCTAAGTCCAAAAGTGAAATCCAATTGAGATGAGACTTTGTTTAGATTCAACAAGTCTCTCTTTCAAATGTACTGATTATCCTTTTTTCTGTAGCAACAGCACTGACATGGCAAGATAGAGGAACACTATGAGACATAGGAATATTCTTATGTATCAGATGTTTATACCCTTCTATTTATGTTACGATACTCCCTGGAAAGCACAGACATAGACCAGAAACCCATCTGTATCAGTTTTCCTAAACTCCAGAATTCATGGGGGAGGAAACCTTATTTCTTAATGAACTGTACATATTTAGCAGCTTCAATATTTTCACTACTACAACTGAAAAGTAAAATAAAATATTAGAGATGCAGTGTGAGTGAGTACTTACTTGGAAATCCTAATAATCAGTGAATATCATTACCATCGGAAACTGCAAAGTAGCATATCCAGAAAGTAAGACAGAGAAGACTGTCACACTATCAGCTTATCCAAACCTACACAATCCGTGCACGAAAAAGGGGAAAAAAAAAAAAAAAAAGGCAGTGTTTCTACATATACACACAGAATTCAAGCAGGGATTACAGCAAATTTAAAGTTACAGAATATCCTGAATTGAAAGGGACCAACAAGGATCGTCAAGTTCAGCTCCTGACCCTGCAAGGGACAGCCCCAAGAATCACACCACATATCTGAGAGCCTTATCCAAACGCTTCTTGAACTCTGTCAGTCTTTTGCTGTGACAACTTCCCTGGGGAGCGTGTTCCAGTGCCCAACCACACTCTGTGGGAAGAACCTTTCCCTAATATCCAAACCTCCCCTGACAGTTTCATACCATTTCTTAGGGTCAACTTGAAAGCTAGAACTACACACAAACTTCTGGATTGCTTCTTTTTTTGAGTTGCAGTTGGCAAGATGAATAACTGGATCTTAAACTTAGCTTTTTCATCACCCATAGACAAGGGGTCTTATTTGATTTAAAAAGAGCATGCTTTAACTTCTTTTTGTTTTATGGTAATTTGTATGTATCTCAGGGTTTACTTCCTCCTTCATTCCCACAGTCTTGCAGAGAAGTATCTCACATAAAACATCCCACAAGCAAGTGCATCATATCCTGAATACAGAGGTGTGTGGTTGTGTGTGTGGGGGGAGTGTGTGAAGAGAGGCACTCACCAAATTTCTGGCATAATTTATTTAATTAAGCAGTCCTATCACAAAACCGTTTAGTTTGGAACAGACCTCCAAGATCAGCGAGTCCAACTGTTAATCCAGCACTGCCAAGTCCAGCACTAACCATGCCCATGAACACGCTGCACTCGACCTTACCACCAGCGTTCAGCAAATGCCCGAGGGAGCACAGCCGCACCCGAGGGCAGCGATGGACGTGACACGGCAGCCCCGTCTCCTTCCCGGCCCGTGCCCAGCACGGCGGCCCCTGACGCCCCCGGAGCGGGAACGGGCTCGGCCTCACCGCCGGGAGCTGCGGCCGCACGGCCGGGGGAGGCTCACGGAGGTCCCTGGCCCCCCCCAAGGCCGCCCAGCATGAGGAGTCTCCTTGGCCGGGCCGCCGCGGGCTCCGGGCACTGCGGCTCCTCCTTCTGTGGGGCCTGGCAGCGGCAGGCCGGAGCTCCGGCTATGACTTACCACAGACAGCGAGCGGGGGCAGCCCTGCGAGGGGCGAGAGACCACCCACCCTCGTTCCCTCCCTCCGTCCCTCTTCCTCGTTCGCCGCCGCCCCCATGCAGACGGCGGCAGCCCCAGGTGCCCGTCCGGGCTGCCCCCAACGCACAAGGCAGGGGGAAGCGCCTGCTCCTCCTGTCCCAGGAAGCCGCCTGCGCTCTCCCACCGCCCCAGCCACTGCCCGAGGCACCTACCGAGGTGCGGATGGCGGGGAGGACGAGGCGGCCCCTCGCCCCATCCCCGCCCGCGAGGGGCGGTGCTGCCGCTGGGCACCCGCCGGGCCCGCCCCCGCTCCCTGCCCGCGGCCCCTCGGCGGGGGGTGCCGCGCCTCGCGTCAGCGGCCCCTGCGCGGCGGGGCGGGGAGGGCACGGGAGTCTCGGCGCTGCCGCGGCGGGAGAGGCAGCGGCGGGGCCGGCGGCGGCGGCTCCTCACGGGAACAAAGCGGGGGCGGCGCGGCCACACGGTGAGAGCCCGGTGAGGGACGGGGAGGGGGCGGTGCTCGAGCTCCCCCGGGACCCCGGCGCTCCCCGCGGGGCGGCTCGGCGCGGTGCGGCGGAGGGGCCGCGGGCCCGACCCCTCCCTCCCTCTGCCCAGCGCCTTGAGGCGGGGTGACAGCTCCGTGCCCCCCGCCCGCCCCCGCCTCCCGGGGAGCCGTCCCCGATCGCCCCGTGTCCCCGCAGGGACCCCTGCGCGCCGCCGCCGCGGTGTCCGCCCGCCTGCGGGTCGCTGTTCCCCCGGGGAGCAGGGGAATATAAAGCAGTGAACCGGGGAGGCGGTCCGGGCGCGGAGCCCGAGAGCAGGTAGGTGCGGGACGAGCGCCCGGGGAGCCGGGGGCGCCGCTCCCGCAGGCGGCTGCGGGGGCTGGGGGGAGGCGCTCAACTTGGCCCGGCGCTGGGCACTGCCGAGGTCAGCAAGGCTTTTTCTGCCCGCGGAGCATCCTGGTGTGACTTCTCGCAGAATGTGTTTTTTTAGGGGGGCTCTTTAGTGGCGATTGTGGTTTTTTCTCCCCCTTCCTTTCCCCAGCCCGTCGCTACATAGCTGGAGCCGGCTGGGGGCTCGCCCCTGCCTCCTTGGCTGCATACGCAGCGCTCGTGTTGTCCTAACGATATGGCAGTAGCACTTCCTGCTGTAAATCACTTCGCGATAGTTTTTGAAGCGCTTCTTAAAGGCGGCACTGTAATGAACCCTCTTGTCAGTGCTTGCGGTAAGCTTAAAACCCTGTGAGCTGCAGGCTGTTTTCCGGGCTGAGCTGTGTAATGTGCTGCAGTAGTTTTCGTAGAAAGGGTAGAAACGTAGTTCACCGTTGGCTTGGTGTTGGCATAAATGCAATTCCCTTTGCTATGCCCTGTTGGTGTAGGCTGTGTGGTTTTGGACTCCGTTGTAGTTACTTTTGCCATCTTCTTGTTGTGAAAGAAAGCTAATCTCAAATGTTCAGAGAGACTGATGTATTAAGAACTATGAAAAGTAAGCTTTGCTATGCTGCTGTACTTGGGATAGCTCTTTGTTCTGGAATAATTTGAGGAAATAAAATCACTCAGACTGAAATTTATGGGGACTTGAATTTAAAAACCTTAGCTGTTAGCATTTCTTAAAATATTTAAAATAAATAGATTCATTAATGTAGATTACTATTACTGTATTCATGTTTCATTTATTGAATTAGTCCAGTGATCTCTTATTTTGCTCTTTGTATGAACATCGTCATATAAAATGGTCTTTCTGACTTTTTCCAGCTTATTAATGCCTTTTTCCCCTCAAAAAATTTTAGAGCACAGTCAGAAGAGGAATGGATGTAACATGATACCCTTGCAGCACTCAAAACACAACAATTCTGCAAAGATTTGTTTTTTCATTAAGTAATACAAGGAAAATGGATGAATCGGCTTTGCTGGATCTGTTGGAGTGTCCTGTTTGCTTAGAACGCCTTGATGCTTCTGCAAAGGTCTTGCCTTGCCAACACACGTTTTGCAAACGCTGCCTGCTGGGCATTGTGAGCTCTCGCAACGAGCTGCGATGTCCCGAGTGCCGGACTTTAGTGGACTGCGGTGTTGACGAACTCCCCAGTAATATTTTGCTTGTTAGACTACTGGATGGCATCAAACAGAGGCCTCGAAAAGCCAGCGCCGGCGGTGGGACTGCTGGCACAAATGCTTTGAGGGTTCCCATCAACACTGTAGCTAATTGCGGATCAAAGGACCTGCAGAGCTCCCAAGTTGGACAGCAGCAAAGGGTGCAAGCACGGAGCCCTCCTGTTAGGGTAAGCACCACGTGGTGACAGTATTTTGTTGCATTCCTGTCTTTTCCTCCACCATCTCAAAAATGGTTGGTGGCCTTTCTGCTTCGGGATAAGGGCAGTCAGATAATACAGCAAAACAATGTAATTTTGAGAATTTCTGTAGATATCTTGCAAAGCACGATGGTGTTCCTATCAGTGTTGGTTTAATGTTGCATAAATACTAATAATGCTACCTTATTGAAATGCTCAAGTTTTTAAGGCAAGAAGAAGAAATCCTTAACTCTCCAGTTCAAAGACAGTCAAACAGAGCAAGGTAACTTATGTGGAAAGCTTGAGTTAAGTTATTGTTAAGGATAGAGGTGTTGTGAAGAACATTTGAAATTGTTTTTAGTATGTCAACTGCAAGACTAGAGATTTCATTTTGGCTGGTGCACTTCCTGAAACGATTCTTACAATCAGTGAATTTCCTTTAAGTTAGACATAAGGAATGTTAAACATGAGCAGAGATGTTTTGCCACTGGCTTCTAAGTATCTAAATTTTTACTTTATTTCCTTCAAAAAGAAATTTTTGAATTCTTGCAATCTGCTAAGTTGTTTGTACTCTTAGTCCTCATAATTTCTTTATTAGTTTTCCCTCAAGTATTTTTTCTAGGGAAGCTGGAAGTTGTACGTGCCATGATGGGAAGACATTGCCTTCTTTATATACTCTAGTTCCTTCCTAAGAGCTATGCAACCTGTAGACTCTGTCATAACTTATAATCAAGACTCAGTAGCCTCATTTATGATTATTCATTCTAGAACCTGTGTCAGGGAATGTAATTTCATGAGATGACAGACCTTACTCTGTTTTATCTAATGACAAAGCAGGACAGCTTCTCTGAAAGGTTTTGCTGCCCAGTTTTTTTGAGTTCCTATGTTTGGAGTGAAGTTTCTGAATGGTTTAGGTGTTTGTGAAGTATATTCGATTTTTATGAAATGTCTTAAGGAGTTCCAAGAAGAGGACTTGAACATATTTTTGGCAGGACTAGTCTTTATTTTGAAGTGTATCTAAATTATTTAGTTTATTTACCCAGTGAAGGAAGCCTAACGCTGATTTTCCTCAGATGTATTTGACATGATTGGAATCTCTCCAAAAGATCTTAGATACACCTTTTAAATTTACACAAGGATTTAAAATACAGTTGTTTTTCCACTAGTTGATATTGCTTTCTCTGCTTGCTAGAGATCTCATTAGGTTCTTTGCTTTAGAATATAGAAATTATAACTATCAACTAATTTCCTGCTAATGAGTTTTGTTTTGTATATACATTAATTGGTGAGAAGGTGATCTGTGGGATTTTTCTGTTAGTGGTTTGTTTTTGTGGTTTTGGTGAGTTTTCTTTCCAGAACGTAGAATCCTTAAAAAGTAATGCAAAGTAGTATCAAAACCAGTCTGGTCTTCTCCAGAACTTTAAGGTGTTTATCATGATACCTTGCATTTGCAAATACTCTTCAACTTAAAACAAAAAACTCTTATAATTTGTTTCTGTATTTTTCTGTTGACCTTTGTAAATAACTGTATTTTCAGAGACTGCCTCTCCTCCAAAGAGTTTTCCGGTGCAGTGAAGTGCATGAAAGATTGTACTTCAGAGTTTCTCAAGCCTTATTAGACAAAATAACTTGAATATGGAGTATTTTATCTTTTTTTTAAATGTTCTATAATATCCTGTTTTGCAACATTTGCATTTCCAGATGTTGCGCAGAGTAGAAAGTGATAACACATGGAAGGTTGCTTCAGCTTATCCTGTACCATGTGCCATTAAAACTGTGACCATATGCATTCCTCATGCAATAACTGAAAGTCATTGTATGTTAGTGATAGCTTTTAGTGTTTTACAGTAAGTCTTATTCCGTCTTTGGTTTTGGAGTTTCGCAGGGGTTCTTGTGCCTTCTTTCCTTTGGGACACAGGGAAAGATGATGATCTCATCATTTGTCCACTTTGTCCAGAGCCTTTTTTACTAGAAAGCCTTTAAGTACCTTGAAGAGCATGAACCAACTTTCATGGATAAGAAGGTGGATATATGAACTTTTCTGTTTTCTGTATGAAAAGTGGTTTTGGAAAAAGAAAACAGTCCAGAAAGCAAAATGCCACTTTAATGGACAGTGTTGAAATGAATGCCCTATTTGTTTTGCTAACTGTAACATAAAGATACTTGCAAATACAGTTCCTCCCTGGGAATTGAAGAGGAAAATCTGTTTCTAGATGAGTGGCAGAGTCAGATTTCCTAAACTAATTTTGCTGAAGGGAAACTAGTAAATGAAAGTTGCTGTTATGTTAAATGAAGTGAATGTGGATGAAGGCTGTCAAGTCATAAACATTCTGCTTATACACTGAAGTAATACTAAGCTCATAAATGCCCTTTCAGAGAATGCCATAATTTTCAGAAAAGGTTAATACAGCGTGTACTGCAGCATGATTTCCTGAACTGTATCGATGACTGTGGAGTGGCCAGCCCTGTAATTGCACAGTATATTGCATTCTCTGTATGTATGTGGTGACACATGGCAATAAACAAACAAATGGTTCCTTGAGTCTTAAAACTAATAGAGCAGGGTGGGTGGTGGGGATTAACAAATCTTGTGCCTAGTATGTCCCCAACTAGAGTAACCTGTTTCTTTCTGTAACCTCTCTAAGGTTTCACTGCCGTAACAACGGCAACAATTTCTCTGTGCAAGTTGTTATTTTGTTATTTTGTTCCCCTGCTGTTGATGCAAAAAGCCTCCTGTGCCTTTCTCTGGTACTGGCTGAACTGCACCTGATGAAAAACTTGTGTTTGCTGTGTCCTTAGCAGTTCTGTCCCAGGCAGCCAACTTGTGGGGACAACAGTTATACACATACTGCAGATTTCTCTCTGGTGTGGATGGAAATTTAATGCTTTTCTCCTTGTTTTCAAGTGAGAACCTTCAGGCAGGTTGACAGCTTGGAAGGGCTGTAAGAGCCACAGCCTAAAGTCAAATCTGCTTGTGATTGGTCATCAGGAGCAAGTTGGACTGTTGAGGGACTGCATGATCATGACCCTTGTTTCCTTCAAAAGAGCATTCAAAAAT